TTCAATACATGTAGGATAATAAAGACATAAAATTTCATTTTGGATATTTAAATGGAAATGCAATGTGAAGGCTATATAAGGAAAGCCATTTTCGAAAACCACATTTGATGAAATATTCTAATCATGCTCCAGAATATGAAATGATTTATACGTATGTATTTTAAAACAACTGTAAGAAGGGTCAAAACCTGTTTACAAACATACTAAGAGACAAATGTGAGTATAGTAAAATTCTATTTTATTACAAATGTAACATGTTAACAAAAATTTCTAAATACGGATATTTTCATAAAAATGTGCACGTAAACTGGTAACTTTTGTTTCTACTTGACAACTTGCTTATGAAATTTAATAACGGTGTTATTTTTTTATATAATTGAGACACGAATTACCGTTGTTACATGCCATTAAAAGTTCTGTCCGTAATAAACTTGAAAGTTGATACTTTAAAATGCTATTTTTCATCTAAAATGATTCAACATAAAGTCTTTTGTACCTTTTCAAATTGAGGTAACCTGACTATATCTGCCATTGGCCTACTCTAAATACATTGTTTTTGATTTGGGAGAATTGTGTGGTTTTTTGTTTAGTTAATTTCATTTTTATTTTCAAAATTTACAGTTGTCGACGTAGTCAAAAAGAGAAACAATATGATGCAATAACTAAATTTATAATGATCTTAAATATTTGAGATCAAGGTTAGTGGGCATATGTTGATTTTTGACGTAATAGTTTCCCCATGCATAACATCAGATCTAGACGTCCTGCAATACGCCTAATACTGCTTCAGTGACATCGAACTGTACGATTAGCAAGGTGTTGAAATCATCTAAAGTACCAATTTCAATACTGAAGATTTCTTGGGAATGCGGTCGCCGAGGTAATTATTGTCCTGATGAGGAGCATCACTTCATACAGGATATTGTAAACACAGCAATGACAATTTTGAGGCGGTAGTGTAAATCGGCCTGGTTTCGGTATTAGGTTTTTGCTACAATGTAATTAGGCATTAGGTATTTAGCAATAGGATCCCTTTAATGTTAAACAGTTGGAAACCTGAATAATGCAACATTCGCGACACGGAAGAAATATTCATTAGACAAGCATTTTTAGATTCAATATCATTAATTAGACGACGGTACAGTACAGGCCACGAGTTTTCCACAAAAAACACGGGGCCCCGTGGACCGCAAGTCCACGCTTTAGCGTTGACCTCGAATCTTGTCGGCGTCTTTGAAGTCAGCGTGTCTGTGCACCGTGTGACACGGTGTGTCACAGTTCGTTCTGATGATAAATATTTTAAACATTCTCATTGCCCTTATTAATAAAATTAAATCAACTTTCTTTCGAAATATTTGTTGTACTTTTTCCATAAATTAATACATGTATTGGTAATTTATCGCATACAGATAATTAAACTAATAAGATGCCTGAAAACTTAATAACAAAGTACGCGTGTCCAGCAAAAAAATATACAATCACGTTTCAAGTTAAATCCTAATTATATTAGTCATAAAAAGTTCAATAGACTATTATTATATTACACTAAGAGGAAACACACTTTCATAAATGAATTACTAGTACTTAATTGTCTCTACTTTCGATTTTGATTTTAACTGTGTTCAATTAAATAGTTGATACAAGATCGTTTTTCCCTTCGTATTACATATCAGATGCGTGATTATACTAAGTGAATTAATTATTTTGTAAGAATTTAAATGTGCATGTACTGTGTCTAGATTATTTTTTTTGAAAGACGTATCAGACTAGCACATTAATTCTGCTCTTTGATACCTATACCGATACTCGGCGAATCATTGGACAGGTTCAGATGAGGATTATTGCAGTTAGACTAACACTAAAAATCTGTAATTATGTAAAATATGGAGATAAATATTGAATTCGGTAAACTCAAAAATCTACTTAACAGGCAGAGATGATAATCTGAATCATTTCATTAATTAAAATAGTGATAAACTTTATTAGTAAACATGCTGAATACAAAAATCACAGCCGAATTTTTGGCAAATGAAATGTGCTAACTTCAGTACGAATATTACTTCATTCTGAAATATATCGTGTGAAAAGGAGAAAAAACGGTTTGAGAAAACATAGATATTTAGCGATTTTTTTAAAAATGCCCCCCCCCCTCTAGAAAGCGATACGAATCAGCTGGTTAAAACTTTATCAGAAGTCTGCAAATTTATGTTATGTTTTTTTAAATCTTAATCTACGGGATACATTCTTATTTGTGTCTGAAAAAGGATACTTAAGTAAACAAATAATTGTAAGTTAATAATTGTTGTTGTAGTGAAACCTGGAAGGTGAATTTCGCATGATATCAGTTGAGTGTGTTACATGTTATACACTTGCTGTGGTCAGAGCTAAAGAATTTGAAAGGTGTGATAAACATACGGCGCCCCTGGCCCACCGACAGAGACCCAATATATTTTTTGAACAGGTGTGAACTCGGAACTGACCATAAGATTGTTTCAAATCACAAGAGAAATTCTTTCCGCGTAAACAGACTTTCAAGGTCACCTAGCGTCATGGTATTTTGATTGGCAGGTGATGTACGAGAATTTTGTGCGTACAGCATATACAAAGAACGAATTAATTGCATTAAATGGGTTGAATATGAACAAAAGTTGTGGCAATTAAATAGAATTATAGAATGATTAATTGTGACCTCCTTTACTTAAATAAAAATAAGAATTAAAAAAAAATACAGACTATAGGTTAAAAGGGGGTTGTATGAGTCTCTCTATCTCTCTCTCTGGTGTTGCTCTTTATACACTTTACAACAAAAGAAAAACTTATTGAAAATAACTACTTACACTGAAAGGATTTTAAAAACACAACGTAGTGAATACTACTCTATGAAAAAAGTGTTTGCTGTTACTAGAAATACTCTTTCAAATTATTGCTTTAATTTCGTGTTTCTGCTAACGATTTTCGCATCCACATTCAGAATAATTCAAGATGAACAAAATAAATGTATTTAAATTAGGAATATACATAATAATGCTTGGATCGTACACTAGTGCTGTACATGTTAAAACCATGAACATAGATACAGCTCTGATTTAATTTTATACTGTACTATACAGTGTATGTGACACGAATGCAGCTCGACGCTATTTCGTCTTCCTTTGTTACATGAACACATGAGATTAAATTATTCATTTAAAACAAAATTCATAATTTTGATTTAATTTGATTTAATTTGTAACGTGGATGAATAATTTTACTAACATAAATTTCTAGACACACAGTTAATTCAAATGAAAATCATTCAATTTTTTTTTTACCGATATCTAATCTCAATATCATGCGTGCCATTCGAAGTCCAATATCTGGTAGAATAAAAACGATTATTTTATATACATATTCGTAAACCAAAGTTGTCATCAAAATTTATTTTTAAATTTTTATGAAAAACAAACGATTTTGTCTGTAATACTATTTACACGGTGCAGCTTGGAGGGGAATTTACTGGACACGGTGCGACACGGAGGACACTAGCTGAGATTTTTCTAGACAAGGTGCGGCACGGTGTGCCTACCTGTATATTTCAAATCCACACACAACGTGCTACACCGTGTACACGGTGTAGCACAGAGCGTTTCACACGGTGTTTTTTCCACCGAGCGTTGCGGAAAACTCGTGGCCTGTACTGTATGTAACATCCTTGAACGCCAATGGTGACCATACGAGGCGTTAAACACTTAAAATCGCCTTCCACGTGTAATTGTCTATTGAACGTAATACACGTCCTACAGATGACTTTTTTTTTTATACCTACACACAAATAAAATTTCTAATATTTATAATTGTAAAAATGCATTTATGAATCATGCTATTGAATTTTTTTTAATTGATAATTTATTTTTTTTTTTACTTTATGAAATGCAGTTTCTCTTTTTCAACTGGTATATAAGCCTTATTCATATACAGTACGCATTTGGAAGCAGCAGATTTGTGTTTTTTTCTTTATTTGCTTTAGGCTAGCTTTTCATTTACAGACTACCATATCTATTTAAATTTCAATACGCGTTCAAGAGGTTAAGTCTAGCAAATGTCTGACATCTCAATACAAGACACAAGTAAGAAATAAACATAAAAAATTATTCAGAAACAAGAAAATTGCTTGGTACACAAACACATTCGTATCAAAGTTTGTTTAATTTTCTTTTTGAAAAATACATGCAAAAATATTTATGTTATCCAGTGTAATTTAACTAATTTACAAGTTCACTGAAGCTAGTTTTTGCACACACCTATAACCTTATGTAGACCATATCACATCCATATTAAAGTAACACCAACTCAAAGTTTGATGGATGAATTTGTCATTAATATACATGTATAAATGACGAAAGATAATAACAAAATACATCAGATAAAGAGGAGATCACTCTTGAAAAAAATGTGTAAATTTGTACAAAACATTAATTGATCTCCCCAGTGTAAAATATTACATCAAGAAAATTAAAATAAACAATCCAGAATGTAAAAAATAACAATAAGCAAAAAAGGTGGGAAACAAAAACTGCCAAAGTACAAGCAAGTAATATTTGTACACACTGTTTTTTTATGTGTTACTTGTTTTTCGGGAGTTTGGGTGATTGCTATTAAAACAAAGACGTTGTAAACAAACAAAAACACAAAAAAAAATAAATAACATGATATGACTGATGGATAAAAAATAATTTATTTTGATTAGCAGGATAAAGCCCCAGTCCCTTTCTTTATACAATGTAGTTTTCATGTTATTAGAATAAAATGAATCACGAATTGGTGTAGCTGTTAACATACCAGTACATGTATCAGTGGGTCAATGGAGATGCTACATTGTATATTGTTTTTTATGAATGACTCTCCAGGAATCGGCGATAATACCCTGAAATATTAAAAGAATTAATGGAAAATAATGTAACGTACCATACTTATTGTATTAATTTAATAGATTTGCAATATTGTCGTATTTGCAGATACATGACAAAGATGGATTTCTCCGACTTTGGTTACATTGTGAGCTCCTGTCCCCTTAACAAGACAGAGTACACAACCTCCGCTACCAGACTGGGGTGTGGTGTGGACGAGAATGGGCGGAGTCAGTACGTCTGTGTTCCTAATAACGAGAGGTCAAGTCTGGTGGAATTCTGTTATCAGTCAACAGTTGGCTTTTATGAAAAAGGTATCTATCTTTCATATAATGATTTTCATAACTCTGCTTAACATTTATTCAAATGTTTATTTTGTCTGCATAGGAAATTGTATAGAGGTCCATGAAAGCGGGAATTTGGATCAAACTAGCAGTATGAATTTTACGTATGGATGTCCTTCACAGCACTTCTTTCTCTCCGACATCTATAAATGTAAGTGTTTTTTCTTAAAGGAACATAATGACTATAAAGGAAAGGAGAATGTGCACCTGCAAAGCCTTATGTGGCAAAAGTTTTGTTTTGAACATATTTTATTGACAATATGTCAAAGGGATCGGACACAAGTTCTAACAACTTAGGTAGTCCTCTCCCAAAAAGTAAAAAACAATATTATCAGTTACATGAAATTTCCAAAAATATGTTTCATTATTTTACATTTTTCGAATAATGATTTCAATCACAAATATTTTGATCAATTGATTTTGTTTTAAGAAATCATTTAGTAAAAAATTTTCACATCCGTTAATATTATGCTCATATGTGATAAACATTTTAATACATTTTTGTACGGAAACCCAATTGTACAAACCAAAAATAAATAAAGATACAAAAAGCGAAATTATTAAATAAAGAAAAACAAAATTATTTCAAAAAAAGTAAAACGAAAGTATTAAATTAAAAACTGAAACTCAAATACGGAATTTATAGATGTGCATGGTAAGGGCCTGAACCCATAAATTATTAGCGCCAGTGTCTGATACACCTGATTTTGTTTCAACAAAAACAAGTGAAACGTTTGCCTTTACACTCATGTATTCTCATATCGAAAAAATAACAATTACAATACATGAATAGGGGAGATTTTACGTTTGGTTATCTAAAAGTAAATATGATTAGATCAGATCTTTGTTTTTATCTTTCATTAACTTAATTAAATTTAAATTTGACCAGTCTTATAATTTGGACTTGCAGCAATTCGATGACATGTTCACGTTAATATTACTTTCTTAAACCGTCAGCTCAGATGGACTAATAATCATCAAACATTTAATCTGGACATGAAACATCACAGAGATTATCCTTATAAATTGCACAAATATTTAAGACACAGTTGTATGCATGTTTGTTAATATTCCATTGTATACAACAGTTACTTCTGAATTTTTAACATGTAGGAACCTCCCATGGCTTTACATCGTTATTGAATTATCGCACAGTAGAAAACGGTGTTAAATAAATAAGTTAACCAATCGGACTTTGTGGGTTTATTTGACATTATAAAAAATGTTTAAAGAAATAAAAGATTAAACAAGTCAAAATGGTCACAATAAGTAGAATTTAATGGTTGCTTTTACATTAAAAATAAAGCAAAAGATTTCTTGTCATTTTATCAAAACATAATTATAAGTGCTGCACTGACTACTAGTACTTGTTCAAACAAATTCTAAAACACAATCCTTCAAATACATGATAATAAATCAGTGATATTTGAAAACAAACAGAACACACACATAACAAATCCCACCAAGTAATCAAGTTAATTTCACTTTATAATTTTAATAAGATTTCTGGGTACACAGAAAGGACGCTAGATTAAGTTCGGGGGAATTCAGTAATACGATACGCAAGGTCTTAAGGACAGATGATACAAACAAATCTTATCTTTGGAGGAGACTTAATATCATGTCACAAGTTTAGAAAAGTGGATAATTCTTAGAATGTTTTCTCCTAAGAATTGGGAAATGAAATAGATTAGGAAAATTTTACTAATATTTCATTAAAATTATAAAAATGGATAAAACACTCTCAGTAAAGGTTTACAGATGAGAATAAATTTCTGAATATGTTAACTTGGTGCTTAAAATGTAATATAAACCTTAGAAAAATATACCAAGCCAGGTAAATTTTATGAGGAAATGCAAAATGGTAAAAATCAGCCCATGTAATATAGGGTTATTTATGCTATTTTGCTTTTCCTAATAAGAATAACCTGGCTCGGTATATTTTTCTAATGTTTATATTACATTTTTATCACCAAGCTAACATATTCTGAAATTTGTTTTCACCTGTAAACCTTTACCGAGTGTGATTTGTCAATATTTGTTTTTTATTGAAATATTAATAATATTTTACAAGTCTATTTCATTTTCCAGCTCTTAGGAGAAAACATTCTAAGAATTATCCACTTTTCTAAGCTTGTGACATGATATAAAGTCTCTTCCAAAGATAAAATTTGTTTGTATCATCTGTCCTTAACCTTCTAGCAGTTCATGTGTTCTACTGGAGTGTCTCTCGCCTTTATCGTTAACATTTATAAATGTTGTATTTAAGTTTCAGTTTTCATTGAAAATTTTCGTTTTTCTTTGTTTAGTGTAATTTCGTTTTCTTTCTTTGATAATTTTGTTTTCCTTAATCAATAATTTTGTTTTCTCTATTTAACAATTTCGTTTTTTTTTTATTTTTGGTTTTCATTAGTAGGCTACATACCGCATATTTTTTGGATAAGAGAAGCCGAAGCAAATTGTTAAAAACATTGTAAAAAACAAAATATATGTTGAAATACACTTGACCTTGCGATGCCGTTAAAAGCAAATGAAGGCGTAAGTTGAAATCTAGATAACGTTAAAAAAAAATTTAAAAAATATTCTGTACACATGTAGATTTTCCTGTCAATTATAAAACAAACAAGTAACAGCTTTTCAAAAAGCTTGCCTGACCTAATCAATCAATATCCATAGAATGTATAAGCTTGATAACTTATAAACATAAACGGGGGGTGAATAATTTCAATAGAGTAAATTATGAAGATGTTGCACAAAACATTCATTTTAAGTTGTACATGTATGTTATTTATCAGATAAATAGAAAAAAGAACATATTTTATTTAAAGCATACATATTGTTTGTATCTCAAAAAATGAAAAATACATGTCCCGCTGGGATTCGTACCCGCAACGTTAAGATGAACACCTCACTCCGCAAGTCTAAAATGGTTTTAAACAGGGACGTAGCAACCGGGGGGGGGGGGGGGGGCAGGGGGGGCCTGGCCCCCCACTATTTTCCCCAACATAACCTTTACTATAGTAAATGTTCATTGATAGGATGGTTGCCCCCTACTCTATAACCATAGTATAGTGATATCAAGGATTTTAAGGAAAAAAAATTGGAAGTTATATTAAGTTGGCTTTGAAAAAAAGTTAGCCACTACCCCCCCCCCCAGGTTGCCCCTCCCCCCTTTCAAAAACGATGCTACGTGCCTGTTAGAGGCCTAAGGATGACGTAAATAATGTAACTGATTCATGCTGGAAATAAGATTCAACTGCATACAGCATATTTAGGCTATGAGGAAGTCAACTGCAAATATAATTACTACAAGAAGTAGGGAATCGAAATGGTCATGAATGACATATAGAGTATGTTTGATAGTTGCAACAACGATTGTTAGAAACGTGGGATAAATAAAACCTGTTTTGTATGAATGACCCAGCAAACTAACGGTGATGTATGAATGGCGATAGTTGCAAATACAGGAAGTATTTTCAAGGGATGAGGGGTCCATATAAAACAAGATGTGTTTGTAAAACACTGATGCCCCTGTACGTCCGTATAAAAACAAGATGTGTTTGTGAAACACTGATGCCCCCGTACGGCAACATAGCGATGGTTAAGCTTTCTCAAATGCAGATCAAATATGTTGGTACAAAAGTAAGGTCTTTTCACAAGAAATGCGAAATGTAAACAGTAGCTACACCTGTTCAAGGTTATGACCAAGGTTAACATCTTATAAGATAGGACAAACTCCGGGTCAAGGTCAAAGGGTCAATGTTGTTGTTATCTAAAAAAGGGCCTTGTCTCAAAGATTACGTATGAGAAGTATGAAAGCACTGGCCCTTACCGTTCAAAAGTTATGGCCAAGGTTAAAGTTTGTAAATGGTAGGTAAAACTCTAAGGTCAAGGTCAAAGGGGGGTTGAGATTCTTGATGTCCAATGTAAGGTATTGTCACAAGAATTACACATGTGAAATATGAAAGCTCTAGCCCCCACTGTTCAGAAGTTATGGTCAAGATTAAAGTTTGTAAAAAGTAGGTCAAACACCAAGGTCAAGGTCAAATGGTAGAGGTTCTTGATATCAAATGAAAGGTCTTGTCACAAGGATTAAATTTGTGAAGTATTAATGCCCTGGTCCTAACCCTTCAAAAATTATTGTCAAAGTTTAAATTTTTAAAGTAGGTCAAACTCCAAAGTCAAGGTCAAAAGGGTCAAGGTTCTTGGTATCCAATAGAAGGCCTATTCGTCAGAATTATATATATGAAGTATGAAAGCCCTAGTTGTTATTGTTCAAAAGTTATAGCCAAAGTTAAAGTTTTTTCTCAGGCACAGAAATCTCCAAGGTCAAGGTCAAAGGGTCAAGGTTGTTGATATCCAATGAAAGGTCTTTCAACAAAAAATATACATGTATATGTGAAGTATAAATGTCTTGGTATCTACTGTTCAAAAGATTTGGCCAAAGTAAAATTTTAAAATTTTCATGAAAAAGTGGGTCAAACTCCAAGGTAAGGGTCAAAAGGTCAAAATTGGTGGTACAAAGACAGGTCTTGTCACAAGGAATGCACCTGTGACATATGAATGCCATAGCTCCACTAAGTCAAATGTTATGGGCAAGTTTTTTGCGGACAAACTGACAAACAAAGAGAGAGAGAGAGAGAGCTAGACAGACAGACAGACACGACAAAAACTATATACCCCCGAAACTTCGTTTACGGGGGCATTAAAATATTTGTATGAGCAAAAAAAGTAATGTATACTTCCTCAACCTGAAATGTGACGAGGCACTTTCCTTAGTCGCCAGATCATACTCTATATTCTGTTTTTTGTAGGAGAAAAACCCCTGTTGGGGAGGGGGGGATCAGATGTTTATTTGGCCAGTTCATCCTCAATCTTTAGAAGTTTCCGTTCGTTTCGATTTATTAATCTAAATGATATACATTCTAACTCACTTCACAATATCACCGATATGTTTTTTTTTCAAAGCTCGATGAAGATTCCGACAAAAAAGAACGGACTATATTTAATTCATGCAGTTTTCATTTCCATTCAATAGAATAGTCCAGGAAAAGGGCGCAAAAACTTACACGCGAAATGATTGTGTCACCCCTTCCCTAGAAGACAAATGGACTAATCCAGTAGTATAGAATTGCAGAAAAAAGATCAAAC